GGCGTGGCAGCGTCACCTCGGGCCACGGACTCGGCGAGAGGCGCGCGCCGTCAGTCTACGCAAACCGCCATGCGTCAGTCGTCAAGAGAAGAAGGTCGTACGCTAGGGGTCATGGTCCGTATCCAGTCATGCAGGTGGTTGGCGAGTCGTCGGTACTGCGCGACTTGGTCGTGGAGCTGCTGGTTCTCGAGACGCGTGACCTCGGAGACATGGTGGAGCTCATGAGCGACATCTTGCCATGCGACGAGCGTTCCGCGGAGCACATAAAGCTGGCGCGTGAGGTCGAGGATGGACTGTCGGAGCGCCGAGACCTCGTCAATGTAGGCTTGTCGCTGAAGTCGCTTGGCGTCGCGGTCATGGGCGAGCTTCCGCGCGCGCGGTGTGTTGGCGTCGTCACCCATTTGGATACTGTGAGAATTTGGTGAAGTGCTTCTTCTGGCGCGTACCGCACGTCTCACAATACATGCGAGAAGTTATACCTGTGACTGATGCAAAAATGATGCCGAGAGACGAACCAATAGTGCGTGCGCCGTCATCTGCTAGCGCATAGACCACGCAGACAGAGGCTACGCTATCGTACCCGAGTGCTACATTGTTCGACGCGTCTACGACTTGGTCTACTAGTATGTAGGAGACGAGAGCGGTCAAACCAGGCTTAGCTTTGTCATCTCGGTAATGGTTGCCGAAATAACAACCATTGATTGCATCACGACAACGCGGTGGGACGATCGATGGACCAATTGGATCTATCCATCCGTCGCTAATACAGTACTAGTACCTAAAAGACTCCATGACTACTCTGGCCATGCACATGTGTTTGCTGCTGCATTGCCCTGGGGTCGCTCCCTTGGGAGTCGCAGGGATGGATATGGAAAACTTATCCAGATTACTCCTATGGGCTGTGCTGCGTGATACACTGAGATCGACAAATCGAATGCAGAGCACCCTCCATGCCCTGAATCCCACATAGAAAGAACTGCGGTTGCTAATGACACACAAGCGGTTGCATTCTCCACTTACGAAACATCTGTCAATCGATACACGGCTCATGTGTTTGTCGCGTGGCGCCAGGCAGCGTTGAAAGCGTCTCTACGTGTCGTCCCTTCTGTGCACGACCAGAATGATTCGACGCGACTTTTTCCAACGCAGTCAACAAGACATGCCGAGGCAAGTGTGGTAGACTGCAAGAATGAGGCGTGGCATCGGCCTCCTGCGACCCTTCTGATTCAGATGGCGTACGCGTCACACAGCTCTACGAGCTGCAAGATGGTCCATCGCGAAAGAATGCAGCAGACAAGCCTCTACGACCGTGTCCGATGTTACTGATGCCGACGGTTGTTCTCACCAGGATATACCGAGACGTTGTTATCGAGGGTGTGTTGAAAGGATCCACCGAAACTCATATCAGACAACGCCTTCACCACAGCAGTACGCACCCAAATCAGTCACACCAGCTGGCGTGATCGGTGCAGGATCACCAGAGCTATCACCAGCGACGCGTTTTCAAGAGTGGAACGAAGGTGCTACAGTAAACACAACGACCCGACAGCTTGCCGAGCAATCGCCTGAAATTCAAAGGCAACACCAAGGCAGGAGTCTGCCAAGTCGTTTAGTCGGCCACCGTGTAGCTGGCCGTGACCTCACGTTGTCCTGACACGCGTTCGACAAGGGAGAGCTTCCGAGGAAATGCTGCGTGAGATCGTCATTCTTGTTTCGTTACATACATACGTACAATATCTGTCTCGCATGTGCTACGTTACGTCGCGTTGACCCACAAATTTTTGACGAAAAGTGCTCATTTTAGCACTTGGCCATGCTAAAAAGTTTGCGACAATAACACTCTGGTCTGCGCCGTCCCCACTCTATCACTCGGTCGGTTCGACCGCCGCCCTTTCGTCCCATTGTAGTAGAACGTCGATGCAGACCTGGTACCGCAAAACATTAACGCCTCACCAATCCGCCATTAAGGATCCAATTGACAGACCCTTAAAGACCTAGAATCGATTTCGAATCCGATGCGCTACACAAGCTTTGGGAGGGCGTCAAGGGACGGACGCGACCTTGTTTTGCTTTTGAGCAACTTGAGATGCTTGGTCTTCTTGGCGGGCCCCTTGGTAGCGGAAGCGACATCTTCAGGCAGCGCGTCGGCATCGAGTCGCTCACTGGACAACCCAAGTGCCGGCATGCTCACACTTTGGCTGCTTTTCACCAGCTGATCCAAGTCCAAGTACGGCACGCCCTCGACTTGATTGTTGTTGTTGTTGTTGCTTCCTTTGCTGGGCTTGGAGAGGTCGAGGCCGATTTGGGCGCGGAGCAGCGCCACTGGAATGTCCGAGAGGCTCTCCCGCGCATCAAACGGGTCGCTGGACGGGCGACTCGTCTGCGGTGCATCGTGCTCCTCAGCAATAAGGTGTCGCGTCTCGGGCTGGCTTGCCGACGTCCGCACCGAGAAGAGATTGTCGTCAGTTGCCTTGGACAAGCGCCGGATCTCTTTCTGGAGCAGCTGCCGCGTCAAGTTGGCATCGGCCACGTGGTCGTTGGCGAGCGACAAGTCCCGCTGGAGAGCGCTGACTTGTGCTTCGTACTGCTGCGACGACGTTTGCAGCTCGGCGCTAAGTTCGGCGATCGTGCGGTTGGAGTTGGCTTGGAGCGCGTCAAGGCGCTGCGCGAGCGTCAACACATTCTGGCTCGCGTCCTGGAGATCGCTCTTGTAGCGCTCAATGTGGGCTTTGAGCGTCTTATTTTCACTGGTCAGCGTCGCCTGCAGCGTTGCGAACCGCCCGAGGCTGTCGCGATCCGTCTCGTCCTCGTGGCGGGCACGGGACGCTTCGAGGTCTCGCTTCTCTTTTTGAAGTTTTGCTACGTCCGCCCGCAGTCGCTCCTCGAGCTCTTGGCTCTCTCGTGTCTTGGCTTCCTGCGAACCATACTCGGTATATGTATGGTCGCTCTTTCTAGGGACGTACAAGTGTCTGCTTGAGATCGGCGACGCGCTGCGTGAGCGTCTCTTTGGTGTTGAGCAGCGGCGCCAGCTTGCGCTCGAGCTCTGCGATACGAAAGTGTTTTTGGTCGGCGTCTTTTGTGATCTTGTCAACGTCATTCTTTTTTGATTCCAGTGCCTAGATATTCGGTCTGAATGCCTTGTACTTGCACGATTCTTGGTTGTCAGAAGGACCTCTTTCTGTTTTGCGCATTTGGCTTCGAGCGACTCAATGTGCTCTTTTCGGAGGACGCTCTCTCGCTTGAGGATCGTTGCACTCTCCCGCCACTCGGCCTCCTTGCGCTTCATGTCTTCTTCCAAGTAACTAGACGAAACGCTGGAACGAGGCATGTCGTTTGCTCGAGTTGAATACCGATATTGCGTCCGAAGCAAGTCGTCCTCCTTGGCTCGCGACGCCTTCTCGGCGCGAACCGCTTCCTCGGCATGCGTCAGCTCGGCCACGAGGTCATTGATGGTGGCATTCGCCGCCGCTTGGATCGTTGTCATCTTCGCCTGCAGCTCGTCGTTGAGTGCGCTGGCCTCCATCGCTTCTTGCCGAAGACTTTCTGCATCCTTCCGCAGCGCCTCTTCGCGGGCTGCAAACCCTTTTTCTTGGAGCCGAAACTCGCGGCGTAGCTACATACATCGCTCAGCTCACGCACGCGATGAGTGGCTAAAGGTGTACCACTTCCAGCTGGCGCATGTGGTCGTTCACCTCGTCGTTCATGCGCCCGAGCTCCGATTGCATGCTCTGCTTGGTGCGAGTCAACCTACATAGATTGTTTTTGAGGACAACAGCAACGACACAGACGACCTCCATACCGGTCGAGCTCGGCCTTGGCCTGCGCTACATCGCTCTGTGCGCTGAGCAAGGCTTCGTCGCGATCTTGCAGCGATTGCTGGAGACTGCGCTTCTCGTTGCGTAGACCCTGCACATCGCTTTGCAGCTGGTCCACTTGACTAGCACCGCCGTCGCCTCGGTCTCTTGGAGTACAAAATGAAGCTGCGTACCTCTGAAGTCCACTCAGTTCGACTTCGAGTCGCTTCTTCTCGCCGCTAAGGGCGATGCACTGGCTACTATAACTCGCAACCTCGTGCTTGAGCGTGCCCTCCACGTTGACTCTACACCAATGGCATCGTTTCGATGTAGCAAGCGACATCGTACGTGGCAGCAGTCAAGGCATCGGCCTTGTCTTTCCACTCGGCTGCCGCTTCGGTGGCCTCGGCGAGGGCTTGCGCTTGACCTTCAACCGCAGCGTTCATCTCGATCAAGTGCTCCCGCGCCGTTTCGAGCTCGCTTTGGACGCTCTGGAGCTGCGCATGGAAGCGCGAGATGTCGGCCTCGGCCGCCGCCAGCTGCTGCGTTTTTGTCGTCAGTTCGTGCTCAAACTGCAATCGCTCCGACTGCAGCTGGTGCTCGAGGCCGGCCGCGCGCGTCCGGAGGTCGTCGTAGTCGGCCACGGATGTGGCTTGCATCTGAGCGAGGCTGTCGCTGACATCCCCGAGCTCGGCTTGTGTCGTTGCGAGCTTGTCGCGCAGCGTATCCACCTCGAGTTGGAGGTGGTTCTTGCCTTGAAACATGCTCTCGAGGCTGCGGTTGAGCTGGTCCGCTTCCTGCAACGCCGCATGAGACTATGTATCTACAAGGTTGTCGACAATGCCTGGAGAAGATCGCGCTTTTCGTCCTCGAGCTGGTGCATGCGCTGCTTCTGCGTCTCGACCGAGCGTGAGAGCTGCATTGTCTGCAGCGTGGCTGCTTGCAGAGATGTCTCCAAGGCCATGACCTTGGCTTCGCACGTTTGCGTGATGGTCGTCACCTCGTTGGCTTGCGCCGCTGCACGCGACTGGAGCTCCGAAGCGAGCGTGGCGCAGTCGAGCTGAACACTTGAAAGCTCGCTCTCTTTGGCAGCGACTTGTGCCGCGAGCTGCTCCTTCTCAGTAGCCCACGCTGCTACGTCCGCCTTCACGATGTTAGCGTCCTATGCTACTCAGGTAGATGCGTCTACGAGTTGTTGGGCTTGCTGGGTCTGGAGTGCGTTCAAAAGTTGATGTCGCTCGGAGGCCAAAGTCGCTAGCTCCGAGACAGCGGGAAGGATCAATGTCGGGTCATTCTCAACCTACGAACGCAAGGTCAACACGCCGCTAAATCACCTTGATGACTACCGTCGACGCATTCAATTCAAGCAGCGCCACCAGCTGCTTCAGCGTCGATGTGAGCGCGCAAAGCCGGTCGTCGACGGTGCGTCGAGCAAAATGCGCCGTATCCAGCTCGCTCGAGAGGCTCGCGAGCCTCAAGTTAGCCGCATCGACTTCGGTTTGAAGCGACTGGTTCGACTCGGCGTACGCTTCCAGCGCCTCGCTTTTGAGGCTCAGCGTCTTCTCCAGCTGGCGCGCGGCCTCGGTGTGGGCGGTCGCCTGGCGCGTGGCCTCATCGTGCAGCGTCGCGAGTTCGGCTTTGGCCTGCACCAGGCAGGCCTGACTGGTTTCAAGCTCGGAGCGCAAGCTATGCGCGATGCTGCTGTGTTGTGCATCAAGTGCGAGCATCTCATCACTGTAGCGCTGCAGCTCACTCCGCATCGCAGTGTTGAGTTCTTCCTTCTGCCCTCGTTCCATCTAGCACGCGCCGCTCGATTGTGTTGCCATGAAGCCAAGGCACGTACTTGGAGGGCGTCTTCAAGCGCCTTTATCGTGGTGGCTTGCGCCGCCCGCTCCTTGGCATCGTCGGCGCGCTGGCGCTCAAAGCTCTCGAGCGTCCGCTGCCACGACTGGTCGTTCTGCGCCAGCGAGGCCGATAGCTGTGCCGCATTGTTGTTGACTAGTCTCTTGATGACAACGGTCTGTCGTAGAGGCATTTGTACCATCCACGAGCGCCGCCCGGGCCCGCTCGAGGTCCTGGAACGTCGCCGACAAGTGCTGCGCTAGCTCCTGCTTCTCGGCCTCGACGTCGTGGAGCTTGAGGTTCATGTTGGCGCGGTAGCTCTCGAGTTCGTCCTTGGCCAAGTCGCTGTCATGCATGGCTGCCTGCAGCTGGCTTTCGAGCGCCTATGCAAGCCAACGCTTACGGCTTTGTGTCGATGTACCGACGTACCAAGTGGGCTTCCTGCAGCGCATTGCAATGGGTCTGCAGCTGCGCAACTTCGGTGCTAAGTTCAGCCTTGTCGCTGCGGAGTGCGGCGACTTCGCACTCGAGCGCATGGCGCGCCGCACCATACGCACCCTCTCGCTCCTACCGTACCTATCGTGAAGTACACTCCGACCCTTTTTCTTTTCTACTTGAAGGGTCGCGTCAAAGCGTGCTTGAGCGTCGCGGCGCTCGTCGTCGACAGCGCGCAGCATGTGTTGTAGCTGCGCAGAATGGTTCGCGTCTTGCGCTACGAGCGCCTCCTTGGCACTGCCAAGCTCGGACCTATTTGGATCGGTGCATGGGCATACACGAACATCGAGCACTCGTACGTGAGGCTTGCGTTGGTTTGTTGGAGCGTCTGAAGCTCGTGGAGCATCCGCTGCATGGCTTCGGTCGTGCCCGATGACTCGTGCTTGACGGCCTCGAGAAGCGCCGAGAGCTGGGCCATGCGCGACTCCTTCGCTTCAAGCTGCTGAAGGATGAGCGCACTCGGTGCTGGCTCCTCCATGGGTGGGCGACTGCCGGTCATGGTTGGAGCGGGATAGACCATCGGTGGGTAGTTGAGAAGATGGCCGTGCTGTTGGAGCTGCTGCGCGAGCTGGAGCTGCTGGAGCTGTGCGAGGAGGAGCGGGTCCGGCGTCATCGGCGGTGACACCTCTTTCGACGATGACCGCCGGCGACTCGATGCGTGCGGCGACTTGGCGCCGGCCTTCATCACAGCAATGTGTAATTTTAGCTGCGCCAATCCGTAAGCCCAGTCTTGTAACTCGCTTTCCTTTTGGTCTAGTTGACCACGAGAAATGCACGAGAGCACGCGATAGAATACGTCGCACTCGTCATCGTGAGGGTTTGAACGACTCGTTTACCCAGTCGCAGCCTATGGATTGTCTTCTGAGAGGGAAACCGAGCATAGCACAACGTCGGGATGCTCTTTCCTGCCTCCGACGCCTTTAAGTTGACTTTGTTGTTAAGTGGATTGTGCACCTCGATGACCAGAACCGAACTTAACGGTGGAACGAGCATAGACGGCCAACGATTGGCTAAAACTCGAACACATTTTTTG